GCTATTTTGTTTGTTTAGCAGGCCGCGCTGCATTCCAACCTGCCAGCCCTGGTACATGTGGCTGGCACCCTGACTACTGAGCTATGGGTACCCAGCCTTAAGTAGTCCTCTTGCCTCAGTCTTCTGAGCAGCTGGGACTACAGGAACTCTCCACAATGCCCGGCTATTTTTAGACACAGGGTCTTGCTCTTGCTCTTGTTCAGGATGGTCTCAAACACCTGAGCTCAAGAAATCTACCCACCTCAGCCTTCCAGAGTGCTAAGATTACAGGCGTGAGCCACCGCACTGGGCCATTTTTGTTGTTCTTAAAAATGGGTACAAGAGGGTGGCACCTGTGGTTCAGTGGGTAGGGCACTGGCCCAAGATACTAAGCATGGAGGGTTCAAACCTGGCCCCTGCCAAACTGCAACAAAAAAATAGCCAGGCATTGTGGTGGCCACCTGTAGTCCCAGCTACTCAGGAGGCCGAGGCAAGAGAATCGCCTAAGTCCAGGAGTTGGAGGTTGCTGTGAGCTGTGCGCCACCATGGCACTGTACCGAGGGCGATAAAGTGAGACTCTGTCTCTACAGAAAAAAAACAATACCTACAAGATAGGTATTTTCCCTCTTCCCATTTCTGCTTCTCAGTGAAGATGGGTGATGATGGATGTTCGGAGCTGATCTGCAGCAGCCTTTTGATGACCTTGAAAGGACAAGCATGGGGATGAAAGCATCACGCTGAGGACTGGAAGATGCAGATAGAAAGCATCTGAACTGTGCTTCCAAATTAACCACTGCTCCAACTGCTTTATCTTTGGGCTTTTTCTTATTTGAGATATTAAATTCTTTATGTTGGTAAAAAAAAAAAAAAAAAAAAAGGAATATAGGAAAGGGAGCTAGGGAACCTTGGAGAAAAAAGGAGTGTGTCCCAGAACAGCGATGTCCCAAATCAGACCCCAAGCTTGGCCTAGATGTGAGTGGACTGGGTACCACAGAATTTTTCAGAGGAGCATACACAGAAAATAAAATCACAGATCTCCTGGGAACACTTGTACTTTTTTTTCTTGAGACAGAGATTCACTCTGTCACCCTGGGTAGAGGGGTAGAGTACCATGGCATCATAGCGCACAACAACTTCAAACTCTTGGGCCCAAGCAATATTCCTACCTCAGCTTCCCAACAAGTAGCTGTGAGTATAGGCACCTGCCACGATGCCCAGCTAGTTTTTCTATTTTTAGTAGAGATGGGAGTCTCTCTCTTGCTCAGGCTATTCTTGAACTCCTGAGCTCAAGCAATCCACCCACTTCAGCCTCCCAAAGTGCTAGGATTATAGGTTGAAGCACTGTTCCCAGCCAAGCACACTTATACTTTTCAATAAAGGAGAGGAAATTTGTACCCAACAATGCTCTTGGCCCTGCCCCTCAAGGCTTTCAAACCTTTCCCTCCATGCTAAGCTACCTTCTGAAGGAGCAGTGCCATCTTGGCTTCACCCTGCTCCACAGCTAAGGATTACCTCAGCTTGTTCCTTGCAGTGTAACCTAAGCAGCATAGGAGCCATCACCCTCCCTTTCAGAAAAGAAAGCGGAGTCTCAAGGAGGGCAATGACATCCCCAGGTTACCTGCCCCAGTATTGGCATGGGCTGGTCAAACCCAGGGTTTCCAGGCCCATGCCTTTGCACCTTAAGGGCAACAGCCTAGCACGGGGAAGGAGAGCTGGCCTGGCAGCCACAGTAATATTCTCTTGAAGCTGGGCTGGGTTCAGGGCCTGCTGGAGGACTGGACTCACGCTTTATGGTGTCTTCCTTGGCAGTGGAACCTGGTATGTGAGGAAGACTGGAGGATACCTCTCACCACCTCCCTGTTCTTCGTAGGCGTGCTCCTTGGCTCCTTTGTGTCTGGGCAGCTGTCAGACAGGTAAGGACACTGGGAGGGATGAAAGGTGGGATAAGGCCCCTTGAGAATTTACTGCTGGAACGTTTCTACCCAGAGAAAAGGGGGTTCTCAGGCCACTGAGTTAGTCATAGGAGCAAGCCTGACCTCGCCTTCAGCCCCTCTTGCCTGCACCAGCCACGTACTCCCAGGGCTTTGGCCAGGGGTGGGGAGGGTCTACCGACCCCACTGGAAAGTGGAGTCCTCATTCCACAAACCTTCTGATAAAACATGATGCTGCCACCACCAATGCCCTCACCACCCCACCATCAACTGGGGGCAGAGGTGGAGGACACGTGATCTGTCCACAGATAGCCAGCAGCCAGACAGCAGGCGCTAATGTGGTCCCACTGCTACTGCGTGTTGGGCCCCTGGCAGCACACTGCAGCCACGTAGCTAGCCCAGGCTGATTTGGGGCTTAATGGAGCTCACAGGCTGGAGGAAAGGTGGTCCCCTGGCCCCTGAATGTTCTGAGGAAGTGCTAAGTGGCAGTGTTAGAGAAAGCTTCCCAGAGCAGTGCCTGTCCCTCCCCAACCTGCAAAACCCAGTGACACCACAGGCCAACAGTGGAGACCTGAGTTTGGAAAATGGGGCCAGAGACTGTTCTGATCCAACCTACGGTCCACTCTACCCATTACCAAAATGTGAAATTAACATGACCACCAACTACAGTGCCCCCAACAGATATTGCCCGTACAAAGCTTAGCATCTTAGAAGTACCTCCTGAGGAGGTAGATGCCAGAGGCCTCGCCAAAGAGGCAGCTGGGAGGAAGTGACAGGGAGAGAGTCAGGACCCTAAAGAAAGTAAGTCCACAGTGACACCTGACTCAGGGCTGGAGACACCTTGAGCCTCACAGCAACCCGCACCCCTCCCGTTTTGTGTTGTGCCATATCGTATTCTATAGGTTTGGCAGGAAGAACATTCTCTTCACGACCATGGCTGTGCAAACGGGCTTCAGCTTCCTGCAGATTTTCTCCATCAACTGGGAGATGTTCACCGCGCTATTTGTCATCGTGGGCGTGGGCCAGATCTCCAACTACGTGGTAGCCTTTATACTAGGTAAGAACAGCTCTGGGATAGAAGGTTCCTCTGTGCTGCCAAAGTTTGACTGGCTTGAATATGAGTGTAGGGAGCTGTACCCATAGGCTCTTTGAAGCAGTGTGGTCAGGGCAGACGCAGGAGCCATCTCTGTGCTGGAGCCTGAAATACAGTGGAGACCGAGAGCTGGAGCCGGTAAGCACCAGTTGCGCAACAACCGAGACACATTCTCAGGAGCAAGCAAGGGCTTGGGAGAAGAGCAGAGGAGGAAACTCAGGGGGGCAGACAGCCTGGAGATGTCTTTGCTCTGAGCCGTGAAGGCTTAAGGCCTCTGCCTGGTGGCTATGAAGGGAAAAAGGCAGTTGGTGTAGCCAGTACACAGGCAGGGAGACCTAAGCCAGACGGGGAATTCCATGCTAGCCCGCCGTGCCACTGTGAGGCAGATCTGGCCTCACTCTGAGTCACAACCCAACCCCAGCACATATCAGCCAAGCGCAGGACAAGCCTCTCTGCACCGATAGTAGTCCTGTCTCCTATCTGGCTGCATGAGGGAGACACAGCAGCTTCAAACCATGCAGAGGTCCCCAGGGACCTCAATGACTTTCCCTGGGAGGAAGCAAGGTGTCAGGGTCATCCACAGCAGTGAGTGCCCCCAGGGTACTCTCTGAGCCTGCCATATGGGCAGGTGAGAGAAGAGGAGACGATGGGCGTCCTGGGACAGTAGCCACCAATCCCTAGAATCTTCAGTGTGATACTGTAATGTTTTCTAGTTGGCTCACACAGTCCCAGTTGATCCCTATTGTCACAGTGTAATTATTATTAGTACCCCCTTAATATAAGTCTAATGATTCTTATCTCAGAAGTCTGATCTGGTCAGGTGACTAATAGCTTTTAAAAATCTGGATGACTCATGGGCTTTGGAAATGCCAAATAGATGTTCCCTTAGCTGTGTACACCCTCTGTCTGGTTGCCAATTTGGAATTGTTCAAGTTCCACTCCTTTAATTATTTCTGAAGAGCTCTGTGCCATAACCCCGCCTCTGTGTCTGCAGAGGGGAGGAGGCAGGAGAGCCTATGGAAGCCACGACTTCCCAGTAGAGAGCACACTCCTCTCCTTGGCAGAGGGTGGCAGCTCTCCTGCCTGCAGGGGCAAGGAGAGGAGCCAAAATTGTCTAGAAGAGCATTTGTGTAGAGGGCAGAGGTAGCTTCAGGCTGGAAACTAGAGATGGGAGGAATTTAGGACCTCCTAGTGCCTTGTGGAGCCAAGAGTTCCAGATTCTTAGGCATAGTGCAGCCTATTGTTCTCAAGTTCTGCCTATTGTTCTCATGTTCTAAGTCCCTAGATTATCTTCCTTGTGATGACCCCTCCCTATGCCTGCAAGGTCCAATCTGTGGCTCCTTATAGGCCACAGCCATACCAAAACCCAAATGGGCTTCCCTAAAACAGAAGACTGTCATAGGAGACCAGCAGACCCGTGTCATAGGAAGATGTTAACGACCTTCTGGAATGGAAGGAAGCTGTAATGAAGCCAGAGAAGCTCCATCTCTGGGACTGGGAGCAAGGTGGAATCCATGCCAGGTGGTGGCACCCCCCAGCTCTGTGTAATGGCCAGCATTGAAACCTGCCTTTCCAGTGGCTCAGCATGCTTCTAGGACCTTGAAGTCCCCTCTGCAAGTGTATGAGGCAGGAGAGCACACCCCAGGCTACCTGCAGGAAAGGCCTCCCTTGCTAGCCCCAACACTACCATCTGCTCCTCTCCCAGCTCGCCATGCAGCTATGGTCTCACAGGGCTGAGAAGAGTAGAGGACCCAGGGAAAGCAAGGCCACGGAAGATAGTCAGCACCTAAGTACGGCAACCCAGCATTCGGCAGGCAAGGCGCCAGGTGCAGGGGACTCACTATCAGCCGGGATCCAGGGTGCTCAAGGCTCACTATCAGCTGGGGTCCAGGTCTGTTGTGGGAGCTCCGGGAGCTCCCATGGCTGTAGTTTTACTCCACTGGGCTCTGCGGGAAGTTGCCGACTTTTGTGTCCTGCTGTGGGACTTGTGCTAGGTTTCAGGTCTGAAAGTTTAAAACCCAGCCTGCTCTGGAGCAGCGGGGGTCCCTAATCAGCGCCTGGGGTGTGGGACACAGTGCAAGGACAAGGTGGCCTCTGGCTTCCCCACAGTGCAGCAGCGCTCTCTGCTGTTTCAGGCCTAAAATAGCCGAATTCCAGGTTTTATTTGACTAAAATGAACCAAAGGGTGGGGTTCAGGCTGAGAAGTCTGCAGGTGCCTTCTCTTTTGCCCTCTGGCTCTAAGGAAGGGTTGACAAAGCCTTGCGAGTATAATCTCTGATTTTAGGAGTCTTCATGTTAATCTGAGAAGTCGAATTACTCCTACTCTCAAAGCAGTGCAGAAATGGGTCCTCTTGTTGTGCTGCTTTGTAAAGATTACCCAGCCTGTCAGAGCCATACATAAGACTAGCAGAGGGAAAGAAAGGACAGAGCAAGTTATTTACCCAAAGCAACAGAAAGGGGACACACCTGGAAATGATGGTGCTGCCAGAGAGACGCTGGTTTAGGAGGAAATAACCCCTCAGGACCCAGGACACTGACCCGACCCAGGCTCCAGCTCCCCTCACTGTCTCCTGCTGTTTCCCAGAACTAATGTCCTGAACCCTTCCACCGCCTCTGGGTAAAATGCCAGTGGCATCGTCTTTTATCCCCAATAACTATCTGCTTAAATGTATTCTGCATGTAAAGTTAACTGCCTCCAGTCTTGACTGATTCATTAATTCCGTATTTTTCAGCACTCCTAACATTAACACCCCCACTCCCCAACATTTCTTTGAGCAGGCTGAGCCATTTAGGCTTTACTTCCTCTGGTGTCTAGATGTTTCTCCTTTTAATAGCTGTGTAATTGATGGATAGCATCTTCCTTTACAACTTGGCTACCAGGAAGCTCTGGCAAATTTGAAATTTAACTATACCAATTACACGGCTTTTACCAGCCACATATTTTTTTTTAAAGTGCTTTTAAATTGAAATATAATCTTGTCTTAGTCTGCTTGAGATGCCATAAGAAATACCATAGACTGGGAGACTTAAACAAAGATCAAAGCGCTTGAGGGGAGGGGTCTCCCCCTGGGTTACAGACGGCAGAGAGAGAGAAAAAGAGAGAGTGTTTTGGTGTCTCTTCTTGTAAGGCCACTAATTCTGTTAGATCAGGGACCCAAATGTATCATTATGACTGCATTTCACTTTAATTACTTCTTTACTCCAAACACAGCCATACAGGGGATTAAGGCTTTGATATATGAATAATAGGGAAGGATAAAACATTCAGTCCATAACAAATCTTCACATGATGATATTCACTCTTTTAAAGTGTACAATTGTATGGTTTTAGTATATTCACAAAGTTGTACAACCATCAACTATCTGACTCCTCATCACTCCAAAAAGAAACCCTATACCTGTTAGCAGTCATTTCCCTCTTCCCCCAGCCCCGAAAACCATTAATCCACTTTCTATCTCTGGTGGGTTTGCTTCTTCTAGACATTTGATATAAATGGAATCACACAATATGTGGCTTTTGTGACTGACTTGCTTTGCTTAATGTTTTAAGACTGATCCACGTTGTAGCATGAATTAGTACTCAATTCCATGAATACAACACATTTTGTTAATCCATTTATCAGTCAACCTGGGTTGTTTCTACTTTGTGGCTATTATGAATAGGGCTATGAACATTTGAGAATAAGGTTTTTTTGTTTTGTTTTGTGTGTTCAACTCCTTGGAGTTGAACATGAGTTCAGTTGCCTAGGGGTTGAATTGCAAGGTCATATGGTCACTCTATGTCTAACCCTTTGAGGAACTGCCAAACTGTTTTCAAAGCGATTAGCTGTATATTTTTGTACTTTTCTCCAAAGCACAACTTTTTAGTTTTCTTTGTATTTTATTTTAATGTTACCATTATGTGATTTTATTTAAGTTAGAAGCTGCCTCAAAATCTTCAAGAGGCATGTTAGCGTGTAAATACATAAACATGATGCAGAAATCTGCTAGCACCCTTTGTTTGCATTGCACCATGTGAGGGAAGAACTGGGGAGACCCAGGAGGAAGCAGGGACTCACTCCTCTCTCTCTGCAAAGAGCTTACCGTCTGGTTGTGGAGACTGCCAATGCAGTTGTTACTATGGATATGAAGTCATGGAGAGGGGGCAGATATCATTGCTGGCTATATGCAGAGATAGAAAAGGCAATTTTGACTGCAACAAACTGTGAAGGTTTATAGAGGAGAAAATGGAAGTCCTCAGCAGGGAAACATCTGTTGATTTGATGAAAATTCTCAGCATTTTCTGGGAAGCAGAGAGGTTCTGCTGTCTTCCACTGGGCCTTTTGGACAAAGCCACTGTGCTTTCTACCATTCCTCTGACATTTCCGCTTCTTGAGCAGGAGTGAGGAATAACTATTACTAAGTACCTACTACGTGCCAGACACCCTAGTATGCACTTTCCATATGTTATCTCAGTCCTTGTAAAGCATGTACACCTTCCTGAAGTAGGGCTTATCAAAGTCACTCTCGTAGGAACTTAGTATGGAGAAGTCAGGCTCTCCCCACATGCCTGACGGAGAGCACTCCTCATACCCTGGCAGCTGCGGTCTCATTTCTTGAGCTGGGTTCTGCTACAGGCTTCTGCTGTTCATTCATAGAGGGGCATGTCCTGCTTCTGTGCTCAGTGGTTCTTGGGGCTGGCTACCACAGGAGTGCCCTGACCTACAAGGAAGAGAGCGGGGCCCTCCCTGAGGCACTCCCTCTTGGGAGAGGGTGTTCACATTTGGGTAGAGGTGACAGGCAGTTCTCAGTGTTCCTCAGAAGCGGATGGAGGGTCTCTAGTTGGTTCAGTGATCAGGCCAGAAAGGGAAAATGCAAATCTTCCCTGTGAAGGGGGCGTATAGCCTTACCTGTACCCCCTTATGTCTCTACTAGAATCTCAGTTGAGGAACTGCTTTATAGAGCCAAAGCTTTGCCCCAGGTGATTTTTTCTTGGCAGTTACACCAGTATTCAAATATATATGGCAGTTACACCAGTATCCAAATATATATATATATATACATATATATATATACACACATATGACTTAATTCTTGGCTGCACCACTTATTGGGTATATTGATGAGTATGAAGATAGGAAATTGGCTTTAACTCTTTACGTCTCAGCTGATTACATATAATAAAGAAGTAATATTCATTTGTATATAATTGTTGTGGACAAAGAGATAATATATGTAAACAGCCGGGAACCTGGCTCAAAGTATTTACTCAAAAATCATGCTAGCTGTGAAGATGATGGTTATGAGGATGTTTAAGGAAGGGTGATTGCCTAAAAGCCAGGCCAAGGAATTATTTAGATTTGTACCATCTGTGCTGCTCCACAGACAGGCAGAGAGGTATGTTTACAAAGCTTCTATCCCTCACGTGTACTCTGCAAAGTTATAACAGCTCTGTTCTGGTCTGAGACCAGAGAGGGAGATTACCCAGGAACCCAGTGCTGTTACTTCTCTCCCTTCTCCTGTCAAGGTCATGAAGGTAGAGGGAGCTCCCCTGGCCTCACAGTTCTACAAGATTCTCACTTGATCCTGTGCACTTTCTCTTTTCCACAATCAAATCCTCTGCTGCTTCACTTCTGAACCTCTGCTTAGGGATAAAGCACCCCTTATTCATTTCTGTATCATAATCACAGCCAAAGCCTTTAGAAACCAGGGCATGGTAAGAAGGTCATTAATGAGGTAAGAAAAGATCTGGAAATCATGCTCATGATCCTTAAAGAAGTCAGGCCCTGTCCTTGGAAAGGAGTTTATAGGCTGATAAATGCCCGGGATGGTTAGGGTTATTGTCTGCAATATGGGGTGCAGAAGGCACATAATACTGGCCATTTCCATCAGTTTGGCTTTTTAAAATGGCAGCTCAAGAGGGAACCACTGGGCAGATATCTCAGTTCTGATAAGTGAGGGAGAATAAGTGGGGTGGAATGGGAACAGATTGGTGGTAGGAATGCGAAACCAGCTAGAGGGGGCATTTTGCTGCTCCTCTGGATCTAGCCCCTAATCCCTTAGCCTGTGTTTGGGGTGTATAAACATGATTAAGAAAATCTCTTTTGAAAGCCAAGTTTGAATGACCTTTGAATTGTCTGTTTTGTATTTTCTGGGCTACTTCTTCTGCATAGTGTGGGCAGAGCCTTTGCCATTGGCCAGATCCTATCCCGGGGGCAGAGGACCAAGTGTGGACTCTGTGTTAAGGGTCTGCAGCTTTATGGCAAGGCGGGGGGGGGGGGGGGCTTTGTTCTTGGACTCTCCTACCTCCAAGGGGCGGGCACTGTCTCTGGAAGAATTAGTGCTGAGTGATCCACTGTGGCGCCGGGCAGAGCAGGGGTCAACAATCACCTGCATGTCCTTTCCCAAAACAGCGCCTGCACCAAGCAGTCTTGGGACTTGGTGGTGTTCCAGGAAAGCTCTGCAGAGTTCACTGTGGGTATGTGGCAGCTCCAGGGCTGCCATCTCCAGAACAGCTTCTGCTTGTCTCTCCTTGGTCTGAAGGGACTATGTCCGCCTGGGGCTGATCTCTGGGCACAGCACAGCTGCTGGGGTGCTCAGTCCTGGGTGCTGGGGGCCTGCTCTGTGCCCCTCTGGGGCCAACTGGCTCCTCTGGATCATTTCTCAGGGCTCAAAGATGAGTAAGGATGTCCCAATATCTCAGACACCAGGAACTCTCCATGGTTTCCCGACGGGCCTATCTCTGTTTATTTACAGTTGAGAAGCGTGGGAAAGGTTGAGCGCACCGTGACCCTGTGTGGCCCTTGGAAGATCCTCTACTTGTCTCCTGGAATGCTCTGTTTGCTTCTCACGTGGGGCTCCTATTTTGGAACTGTGGCACTCAGAAGAGATTACCTCTTGGGGTTGGGCATATTTCCATGACATGGAATGGCCTTTAAAAAAAATAAATCTCTAGCTCTCTTGAAATCTCCTGGAAACCCAATCTTTGTAAATTGATAAGTCCTGGATCACTTCCTACCTTCCTCCACCCCGACCACCCCTGCTCTGGGCCATAAGGCAAACTTCTTGGCCCTTTTCTAAGAGGTTACAGTTTGAACTCTAACTGCCGGGTAATAATATAAAAAGCAAATATTGAAGTGAGTTAAAATGCTAATACTCCTCCCTTGTTTTGAACAGGAACAGAAATTCTTGGCAAGTCAGTTCGTATTATATTCTCTACGTTAGGAGTGTGCACATTTTTTGCAGTCGGCTACATGCTGCTGCCACTGTTTGCTTACTTCATCAGAGACTGGCGGATGCTGCTGCTGGCGCTGACGGTGCCGGGGGTGCTGTGCGTCCCGCTGTGGTGGTGAGTGTGACGCGTTCCTGGACAGGCCCTCTCTGCTGCAGGCCACCACACCTGGAGCACACCTGGAGCCTGGTGCTCCTACCCTGGGCCTGCATGACCTCCACTGGAACTCACTGAGGCCAGCTTCAAAGCCGGGAGAGTTTTTGCCTCATTGTGGGTGGGCTGGTGAGGTGGGATTCCGTTTTCATTGAATTTCGAGAGTGCTGTTCTCAAGAGTTTCAATCCCTCCCTAGATTCTCCCCACTCCTGTCTGTTGCTGGATGCTTGTTGGTTGCAGAGATGGTGTGGTTGGGTTTTGTTGTTTTTAACTCCACCCTCTGCTCTTTTGTCACTTTTCTCTCTCTAGAAAAATCTCTTTCTCTCTTCAACTAATGCAATTCCTCAAGCTTCCCTGCCATGCAATGACTGGCATGCAAGGTGTGTCTATTTATCTGCTAATCTTACAGGGTGAGAGAATTACTTTTGTTTAATTAGTTATTTGAGGAGTGTTTTCTTCCCTCTTCCCACAACCCCCGGACTCAACTTTGACACAACAGTTATGGGAATACACATGACAAAGTTTGGAGATTCTGGCCTCAGTCTTACCCAATGTGATTATCTGGGAGCTTTGGGGTGAAAGAACAGATTAAGAATGATGGACTAGAGTCTCAGCATACCTTCTTTTTGGAGACTTCCCATTTCTTTGCATTTTCTTATTTAAACAAGAGGAAAAGGGAATTCTTTCCAGTGGTGTATCTGGTCTCTGTCTCTCTCTCTCTCTCATTAATTCTTTTTGGTTTGGTTTCATTATGTCAAAATCAAAATTCCAGTACTGACTGATTTTACTGAACTGCATGATTTCTATCTGCTTACACATAATAAAAGTTTCTTTGATCATTTTTGGAACTCACGGTTTAGACAAGACCCCCATGGTTGTCCTGTCCTTTGGACACACCCTGCCTGGAAAGGTTCTTTATGTTGCTGCAGATATTAGGCAGCCACAGAGGTTGGCAAGTGTGACCAGATGGCTCAGTTGGACCACACTAAGCCACTGTCTTCTTACATGTCTCAGCACTAAGATTAATTCTTGGTATGAAGTGTGCAGTAGAGTGGGGACTGTGCAGTTTTTTGTTTTTTTTTTTTTACCTTATTACTTGGAAATTTGAGAGATAGTTTGAAAAGTTGGATGTTATTCTGATTTGGAAGTTTCCTCTAGAACCCAGGGTGAGGATCAGGAAAACTAATCTGAGGTTCTATAAATGAAGGCAGGTCCTGTCTCAGATTTACAAGAGCAGAGAAATTTCAGGAAGGAGAATAGTCATCATCATCTCTCCCTCTCCCCACAATTCCCTTGCTAACCGCATTTATTAGAAAAGATGTTGGTGGCCAGAGGTTCTCAAAACATAAGATTCTTTAAAGGTTACTCTGTGCCTCTTCAGATAAATGATTATCTGATTTGGTTAAGAAAAGATGTTGGTGGCCAGAGGTTCTCAAAACACAAGATTCTTTAAAGGTTACTCTGTGCCTCATGAGACATTAATAATAACCTAGTTTGGCCAGGTTATTTGGCTCACATCTGTAATCCTAGCACCTAGGAAGCCAAGGCAGCAGGATTGCTTGAGCTTAAGAGTTCAAGGCCAGCCTGAGCAAGGACAAGACTCTGACTCTACTAAAAATAGAAAAAAACTAACTGGGCACTATGGTGGGCATCTATAGTCCCAACTATTTGGGAAGCTGAGTTATGAGGATCGCTTGAGTTTGAGGTTATTGCAAGCTATGATGTCACCATGGCACTCAACCCAGAGCAACAGAGTGAGACTCTGTCTCAAAAAAATAAAATAATAACTGTGTTCCCTGGTTCAAGTTGTCATTTTGGCCTAAGAGATCAATAATTTCAAAATGTGTTATAATCAACTTGATTACTCTATGATTCTATCAAAGAGAGAGAGGGTGAGTGAGAAAGAGAATAACAACAGAAGGGTCCTGATATACCCTACAGAAAATAGTATCATAGCCAGGAATAAACAGCTCTATCTGTCAGCTCCCACAGAGTTTCCAGAAGAGAAGGTCCATCCATTCCACTGAAGTGAGGGAGCTGCCTCACTTCACCCAAAGGAGAGTTCTTTCTTCTGTTGCTCATAGGATGATCCCTGAGTGCTTCTGCCTGTGGGCACACTACCAGAGACACAGGGCAGCCCAGGGCCAGAACTAACAAGCTGAGTGCTTTTCCTGAGTATTTAACAGAGAACATATCTGTTCTGTAAAAACAGCTTTCTTCTGAACATCTCGTCCTTAAGGGTGGGGCATCTGAAGCAACAATCATCAGTCTAGTAGGCCAGGCACATGGGGGGACGCCAAGCACCCTGCTGCTGCTTACTCAGGATTCAGCCTCTCCAAAAACACCCTGCCTCTGCTGAATCTGAATTAAACCTAAGAGAGACTAGCATATGAGCCCTTCTGCTACTCCACTAACTTGTGAAATGACCAGCTGGACTTGAAATTTTATGTACGAAAAATCAAGGCAATTCAAAAGTAGAGATCCCAGTGGCCCTGAGTATAGTGGAATGGAAATGGGAGGGGAACCTACACAGGAACTTCAGGTGGTTTGGGGATTTTTTTTTTTCTGAGACAGAGCCTCAAGCTGTCCCCCTGGGTAGAGTGCTATGGCATCACGGCTCACAGCAACCTCCAACTCCTGGGCTCAAGTGAGTCTCCTGGCTCAGCCTCCCGAGTAGCTGGGACCACAGGTGCCCGCCACAACACCCGGCTATTTTTTGGTTGCAGCCGTCACTGTTGTTTGGTGGGCCCAGGCTGGATTCGAACCCGCCACCTTGGGTGTACGTGGCTGGCGCCTTAGCCACTTGAGCCACAGGTGCCGAGCTGGTTTGGGGATTTTTAATGACCCAAGTTTGCTTAAAAGGAATGGTAGTAAATGGCCGCAGGAGTAAAGGGAATATGTATGGGGAGTGGGGGAGAGGGGTAGGGAAGGAGGCCACAGATGCACAACATGGGGAAAGCTTTGCAGTTTCTAGCCAATGGCCCTCAGAGCACTGTAGAAGGGTAGGGTATTTCTAAGTATAACTGGTTGGGGGAAGACACTGCTCACAAGTAGAGGTGTTCATGAAGTCTATAGCCACCATGTAGTAATTCTGCACTAATACCACAGTGCTTACATTAAAATTAAGAGCAAATGCAATCAAATTTTCATTGCTTCAGTCACACTAGCTCAATAGCCACATGTGGTTATTGGCTACTGTATGGGACAGCACAGATACAGAACATTTCAGAAGTTCCTATTAGACAGCATGGCTCTAATTACTGAAGGTCAATGACCTACCATTATCACAGTTCCTAGAGGGATCCACTAAAGCCATATTCTGAAAAACACATTCTGGGTTCACTTTGTAATGCAGGTGCTAGTAAGCTGGGGAAGGGAGCTGGTGGTTGGCCATTCAATTTGCCCTGAGTTATTCCTTACATAGCTTTGGGGCCCATTATAGAACTCCGTATCTGCTACTTGTAATCAATTTTCTAGGATGACTAAGTACAGATGCTCCTCGACTCCTGATCGGGTTATGTCCCAATAACTCCATTATAAGTTGAAATTATCCCATTAATATTATCACATCTTGGCCTAGTCTACCTTAAACATGCTCAGAACACCTACCTAAGCCTGCATCTAACATAAAAAGTGTTTTATAATAAAGTGTTGAATATCTCATGTAATTTATTGAATACTGTACTGAAAGCAAAAAACAGAGTATGTACTGAAAGTATGGTTTCTACTGAATGTGTGTCACTTTCACCCCTGGTGAAGTGGGAATATCGTAAGCGGAACCATTGTAACTTGGGGATTGTTTGGACTGACCAACAGGTGAGGAAAACAGGAGCTGCCAGGAGAAAGGCTGAGAGATTTGGGGAAATAAAAATTAGGAAAGAACATATGTCCTACTCTTTGCAGCTGTGTTTGAGCATCAGTTATCAATGTAAATAGAACAGTAATTTAAGTTTTTAGACATTAAAAAACTGCACGACATTGAGGCTCAGCTCTCCAAAACCTTGATTTAGGTACTCCCTGACCTGGGAATCTACTGTAAACGATGGAGAAAGCCCACAGGTGGGTGTCAGTGCCCTCACCTCCTTTGCAGAAAAAGCTCAAGAACACAGGTGCCCTGGCCATTCTTTGCCCAATCAACTTGTGAGCATCACCAGCTGGACCACCAGGAATTCTAGGGATGTATACATCAAAAAGACAGTCTCTTCTCTTGGGGCATTTATGGTCTAGTGGCTGTGCTTCTTTTATGACACACTGGCTGTTACATTTCAGATGGCCTTCTTGAGCTGCCCTGACTTAACAGACATTAACTTAAACAGTTAATGTCACTTTTCATGGTCTGGTCCTGGTCTCAAGCACAAATGATGATCAGTCTTATAATTTGATCAGAAGTTTGAAACTTGGAGGTGCTTTTATTTATTCCTATGCTCCAATAGAAATCTTATGAAGACTCCCTTCCAATTCTCTTTAAAAAGACAAACTTAGAATTAACTATCTGGGGGCAACTTAGAGTTAATAGTATCCAATCCCATTGTTGCAAAAAATTATAAACTATTAAAAATGAATTCTAGGTTTATTCCTGAATCTCCCCGGTGGCTGATATCCCAGAGAAGATTTAAAGAGGCTGAAGATATCATCCAAAAAGCTGCAAAAATGAACAATGTAGAGATACCCGCAATGATATTTCATCCTGCAGAGGTAAGCATTTGCAAATGTTTCCTCTTGAGATCAACTATGTATTTTTTATTTTTGTGGAATTTATTTTAATTTAGTATTTGTTAAGAGCCCACTATGTACCAGACACTGGGCTAGACCTTAGGAATACAATCATGATTAAGTTCTAAAATAAAAATCAACCTTAAAGGGCTGTTCAAGAATTAAGTGCAATAAGGCTGGGTGCTGTGGCTCACTCCTATAATCCTAGCACTCTGGAAGGCCAAGACAGGTGGATCCCTTGAGTTTAGGAGTTTGAGACTAGCCTGAACAAGACTCAGACCTCATTTCTACTAAAAATAGAAAAATTAACTGGGCATGGTGGTGGGCATCTGTCATCCCAGCTATTTAGGAGGCTGAGGCAAAAGGATCAGTTAAGCCCAGAAGTTTAAGGTTGCTGTAAGCTATGACACCATAGCACTCTACCCAGGGTGACCCATGAGACTCTGTCTCAAAAAAAAAAAAAAAAAGAAGAAGAATTAAGTGCAACAAAATATATAAACTGCTTAGAAAATAGAAAATAGCAAGTGTTCATTATATATTAGTTCCCTGCATTTTGCAAGTTTACCACTAACTTTTTATTGGCATTGCTCCTATATCCATTGATATAGCTATGTACTGATGATTTTTAGATGTCCAGATCAAGTGGAAAAAATATGTTTGAGGGCTAGTCTACCCGGCTTCTCCCCCATCCCCTGAATCTCACCAAAGTCTGCTGAGGAAGCTGTGCATATCCTTCATCTTGCCGTGTGTCATGTCTAGAACTTTAAGGCCTAAGAGCACAGGCTTGAGGATGCACCACTGAGGGCAGATGGCCACAAAGAAAAGCTGAGAATGTAGGGAAGAAGCTGCGCACCCAGACAGGCAGTGAGGACATACAATGTGACCTGTCTAGCTGCTTTGGGAAATAAGAAAACTGAGGCATGGCCCCTCTGCTAAAGGAGCAAATAACTAAAAGTGGCAAGAAGATTAGATGACAGATAAATAATGGCATAAAGGAGGAAGTGCTTAGTACCCAAGGAGTGGACACAGTGTCCCAGCAGTACAGAGAAAGACAGCAGGAGGCCCAAGGGCTGCAGAGGCAGGTCCAGGCCAGAGGGGATAGCAGGAGTCACTCAAATAAATAGAGAGGATGGGACATGGCATTCCTGGGTAACAAAAGGATTAGGGCCTGCTCAGGACACCTGAGGAAGACAATGGTGGCTTCAGTGGCAGTATATATGCCCCCGCCTAAAGCTTGCATTACTGCCTACCTCTGAAAGCAAAATCTGGTGGACAATGGGCAGCCAGTGCTCTGTCCAGAGGGCTTCTTCCATCCCTGGCCTATAGGACCATTTCCAGAAGCAGAGGCCCTGGCTATGGCTAGGGTCCTGATTATAGGGGCCATAAACTCAGAGAGCTTTCAGGACAAAACATCACTTAATCTTTTGCCTTTCCAATCAAGAAGTTCATTTCCAGTCTCAATCAATTTAACTGGATAAAAAAATAACATTGGGAGTAGCTAAGGCTTCTGCCTTTCAGAGCTGTACTGGGCATTTATTGGTATTTATTGGATATGTGACCTGATTCCTATCTTTGTGAAACTTACAGTCTACTTGTAGGACTCTGTCTACATGGATGAAAGCAATCAGAAGATAGATGAAAGATACATAGTTATGGACACATCAGGATAAAGTCCAGGATTAAAGCACATGCTTCTGACAGTACCTTGTTTCTTCCTGCCATGATGTACATTTAGGTAGGACAAGCCCACAGAGGGAAAGGGAGTTTGTGCTTTCCTGAGGTCCAGTCCTCTTCAGGAGGCTCTGCAGAGCCCTGTGCTGGCAAATGCAGCCTGCTCAGAGAAGCAGAGCCTACCAGATGCCAAGCCTTGTGTTCTGCTCATTTACTTCTTGTGTGAGCCATAGCTAGTAGGCCTTACTCTTAGCCCATTTTTCAGGAAAGAAAACTGAAGCATAGAGAAGTTAAGTAACTTTCCCTGGATCACACAGCTATTAAACTGGAATTTGCGGCTCGGCGCCTGTGGCTCAAGTGGCTAAGGCGCCAGCCACATACACCTAAGGTGGAGGGTTCAAATCCAGCCTGGGCCCGCCAAACGACAATGACAGCTACAGCCAAAAAATAGCTGGGCACTGTGGTGGGCGCCAGTGGTCCCAGCTACTTGGGAGGTAGAGGCAGGAGACTCGCTTGAGCCCAGGAGTTGGAGGTTGCTGTGAGCTGTGATGCCATGGCACTCTACCCAGGGGAATAGCTTGAGGCTCTGTCTCAAAATAAATAAATAAATAAATAAATAAACTGGAATTTGCAACCTAGATCTCTCTGGTGTCAAGTGCATGCTCTTAACAACCGTGCTTTTTTACTTGGTGTATAAAAGGCAGTGGCATTAATATGATCAGGAAAAAATAGAGAGTAGTATCATCTTGGAAAACAATCTTGAGCTTCCCTGGCTTCAGAAGAAGCACCTCAGCCTGCTCATACCCAATCCAAAGACGTTTTGGTGGCGCCACACAGGCCAGGGGCAATCACTGGAAACAAGAATATTCTTGACCTGAGATTTCCAAACCTGGCTGCTCACCACAGTCACCCAAGTGCTTCAAGTATACAGATGCCCAGGGCCCTGAGCCCCGTGAAAGTCAGAGTAAGCAGGCCCAGGGTGGGACCAGACAATCTGCATTTTAACAAGGGCCCCGTGAAAGCACCATTTATGCAAAAGCTCTGCTTTGTTGTAATAACAGGCTTATGCTACTGGGAGCACATTCTGGAGCTACACACTCTTGGGGAGCACCTGCTACACATGTAGGTCTGGCACTGTCACTTCTTCATAATAGGGTCATAAAGTCCTTGTACTTTATCCCCTAGAGATTCCCTACCTCAGAGCCTAATAACTCCTATCTTAGTTTCAATTCTAATCCTCTTGGTTATCTAGATTCATAACTCATGGCAAGTTAGCATCAGCAATTGAAAGTAAAGGAATAAAGCCTATTGATAGTGGTAAGAAATCGCTGCTAAACCCTACTGGCTAGCATCTTTTCCTGGATGATGTAGCAGTAATAATAATAGTTAAGACCAGCTGAGGCTGCTTGGGCCTATAATCCCAGGATTTGGGGAGGCTGAGGCTGGGATTTTGAGACCAGCCTGTTTAACAAAGCTAGCCCCTGTATATCTCTACAAAAAAAAAAAATTTTTTTTAAATTAGCCAGTTGGTGCTGTGTGACTATAGTCTCAGCTACTTGGGAGGCTGAGGTGAGAAGATCACTTGAGTCTAGGAGTTTGAGGCTACAGTGAGCCAAGATTGCACCACTGCACTCCAGCCTGGTGACAGAGAGAGAACTTGTCTCAATAACAATAATAGTTAACCTACACACATTCTCCCATATACTTTAAATTGTCTCTGGTTACTTATAATACCTAATACAAGATAAATGTTATGTAAATGTAAAAAAAAAAACAATAATAGTTAAAATTTATTGGGCATTTACCATGATTCAAGCACTATGCTGAGCTTTATGTCTATGATCTCTTTTAATCTTATTAACTCCCAATTAGTATGCAGGCAAATCCCGGGTTATGAACGAGGTAGGTTCTGTAGATTGGTTCTTAAGTTGAATCTGTATGTAAGTTGGAACAGGGACATTTACCTATTACCTGCAATAGCCTCTATTGATAAATGTGAGTTGCACACCAGTCAAACGTTTGTAACTCAGGGACTTACTATAATAAGCCTCATTTGTAAGTGTGAGTTGTACTTAAGTGGATGTTTATAACTCAGGGACTGCCTGTACAGAGAAGAAAACTGAAGTTCAGAAAAGATAATTACTAACTGGCCCACAGGCCCCATGTTAACTGGAGTCT